TATGTGGGGGTGTGTGGGGATGTGGGGGTGTGGGGTGGTGTGTGTGTGTATATGTGGTGTGTGTGTGGGGGGAGGGTATGTGTGGATTATCTTGGCTGGGGGGTCCATCATCGTTTTCCTAGCACCCCCTCTTTTCCTCACACGAAGGTGGGTTACATCCTGTTGTCCTACGTCATGATTCCGGGGGGCAGAACGGCCCGCCCCCCTCAAACACACTCTCCCACCTTCCAATCCCCCAGCATCACGACCCCTGGAAGCTTGGAGGTACTGGGCCATCTGAGAACCTCGGCCAAACCAACCTACTAGTTTATTCAATAAAAATATATTAAAAAAGATCTGGGGGCCCAGGGGTCAGGGCTCGGGTCACCGGGAGGAGGAACCTGGTCCGGACGAGGGCCCTGCTTCGGAGTTGGGACGGGCCGGGAGACGTGGTTTCCTCCACCGGCTCATTCTGGTGGCGCTCGGGGCCTTGGCCCCCCGGGCTCTGTGCTTGGGCTGCGACATACGCCCACCAGCAGACGGCAGAGGCCCCGGGACCTCAGGGTCCAGCAGGTTCAGCAGATCACAGCTTCATTTTATTGATTATTTTAAAATAGATGTTTACAGATTTGAGGGAAGAAGGGAGAGGGAGGGACATCAATGATGAGAGAGCGTCATGGACCGGCTGCCTCCTGCACGCCCCACCCACACTGGGGATCGAGCCCACAACCCGGGCCTGTGCCCCGACTGTGAATCGAACCCTGACCTCTTGAGCTACACGGCCGGCAGCTTCATTTTAAACCCGGGGATCGAGCCTGCAACCCGGGCCTGTGCCCCGACTGTGAATCGAACCCCGACCTCTTGAGCTACATGGCCGGGCAGCTTCATTTTAAACCCCTAAAGCAGCGGTTCTCAACCTTCTGGCCCTTTCAATACAGTTCCTCATGTTGTGGTGACCCCCAACCATAAAATTATTTTCGTTGCTACTTCATCACTGTCATGTGGCTACTGTGATGAATCGTCATGTAAATATCTGATATGCAGGATGGTCTCAGGCGAACCCTGTGAAAGGGCCGTGCGACCGCCAAAGGGGTCGCGACCCACAGGTTGAGAACCGCTGCCCTAGAGGGTGAGCCCCTGC